AAGGTCCCCTCGCTCTCGTCCCCGACACTAGATGGCGCTAGTGCCGGGTACATAACGTCAACTTAGGCGCGCAACACTGCCCCCTCCTAAGACATGCTCGTCCCGAACATTATCTGTCTCCTCGACCATTGTCCCATTTACGGCACAAGACTCCATCCTGAATCAGCAAGCTGTCCCATTGGGCCCAATAGCTTTTCGTGGTTGAACTCATCGCTGAGACGTCGCTCCACTTAGGCTTGGTAGCACGGGCCTTCATCCATTCCAGAATCGGCTTGATGTCCGGATCTTCCTGCTGTGCATGTCGTAGGATGTCCTTCCCCTAGTTGCTGAGGTGGTCTGTCCTGAGCATCCTCATGGATACCACTTCCTTACTCTCTTGCCTAGTACAATGTTTCCAATTTTCAGGACAAGGTCTTCTTGACAATGCATCTGCGTTGCCATGAGATTTCCCGCTACGATGTCTGATAGTAAAATCGTATCCGGGTTGCTGCTGGGCGGTGATGTTAGCCGCACTTCCCTTCTGAGATCGTTCACCTACCCTTTCTAGGGTCCGCTTAGGGTAGCTGGATCGAAGATGGCCCCTTTCCCCACAGCCATAGCACCTAGGGCTGTATCCTTTATTGTGGTCGCGAACCGTAACTGCTGCAATCTCCCTAGCGTGAGGGAAACGATGATCCTGCCGCACGGCTTCCACCTCCAGTGCATGAGCCAAGGCGTCCTTAAGCGTCTCGTGGTGCCTGAGCCTCACAGCAGCTCTGACTTCCAGTTCGCGGATGCCATCGATGAATGTCTGCACCAGGTTCCCTTCAATGAGCGCAGGTACAGACCGGTATGCTTTTCGCACCAGCTTCTCCACCTCTAGAGCCCACTGCCGCAGGTTTTCTTTGATGCGCTGCATGTGATCTTTAAGCTGCGCAAGAAAGACGTGTTCCAGGTGAGCGTCCCCATATCTCGCCTCTAATACCTCAAGGAGTTGCTCATAAGTCACTTCCTCACCGAGAGCTTCCAGAACTGTTAAGGCCTGGTCGCGCAGGCCTAATGTGAGAGCAGTCATGGCCTGACTTTTATACCAGCCGTTCGCCTTCATAACCAGCCTCGAACTGGATTTTGTAGGCCGACCAGGAAGAAGTCCCGTCGAACGGTGGCACCTTGAACCCACGTAGCGAAGGTGTTGTAGCTACTACGGGAGCTGTAATTCCATCCCCCCGTTTGAGGTCGTCCAGCGTTTTCTTCACGTCAGTTATCACGTAATCAACCCGATTATTCACTTGGTCGATTTGGGTTTTAGCTTTCCTTGATTTGGGTTTCAGCTTCCGACAGGCCGTTGTCATGTTGAGCAACCCTATCCTTCACCTTCCTTATCTCTTTCCCGAAGTTAGCGTGAATGTCCTTCACGAGGAGCATCTGATCTTCCTGTCGGCGGGCCTGTTCCTCCTGTCGGTGAGCCTGTTGTCAACCCGATGGTTCACTTGGTCGATTCGGATTTCAGATTTCGCAATTCGGGTTTCAGCTTCTGACAGGCGGTTGTCATGTTGAGCAACCCTATCCTTCACCTCCTACATCTCCTTCCCGAAGGTAGCGTGAAGGTCCTTCATAAGGAGCATCTGCTCTTCCAACCAACGTGCCTGTTCATCCTGTCCGCCCCGCAGCTGCTCTTCCAACCGACGGACTTGTTCCTCCTGCTGCTCTTTCGAATAACGGACCTGTTCCTCCTGTCGGCGAGCATGTTCCTCCTGTCGGCGAGCCTGCTCCTGCAGCATCACCATCAGAGCACCTAAGTCAGGTGCTGCAGATGTAGGAGCTACTGACGGGTCTGCAGCCGGCGGCTGGCCCTCCGACGTCTGCGGTGTTGCACCACCAAATCTTCTTTGGTCCGTCTCCTGCTGGCGTTGACTTCGGGTACGGACGGAGGGTCCGTTTCCTCCTTAGGTAAAATCGGCATGATTTTATCCCACTTCTGACACCAATTGTTACGAGCTTGAGGTTCGTGCCAATAAAAATTGCCAAAATTAACTCTTTAATTCACTTTACACTAATTAAACTTAAAACACTAATAATTAATCACACTGATTCACTTTATTTCGCTCCGAAGTCTCGCCAAATTTAATACTTCCTCGATCGCATCTTGCAGCGCCTTTAAATACACATTATCACTGAAACATCCAGAATATTCAAGTAAATACGCGCACCAATCGACAAGGCGCCGAAAGTTCGAGTGTCAAGCTTCTAGAAGCTTAGTTCTTCATTTCGATACGAGATGGCGCTGTCGGTTGAAAGATTAGTGATCTCCCCTCGCTCTCGTCCCCGACACTAGATGGCGCTAGAGCCGGGTACATAACGTCAACTTAGGCGCGCAACAATACAAAAAATTTATTCAAAATCGGTCGAACCATTTTCGTGCTTTTGCGAAACTAATACTGCGCGGCAATAGATTTTTATTTAAATATATACAGTGTTATTTTGCAAAAAATTTGAGGGTTAAGTATTTTAGAAAAATGGTGAAGAAAAATTTCTTAAAAATCTCAAACATAACGTCTTCTTAAATTAAAAATGAGTGGTAATTGCAGTGAATTATTTTAACTGAGTTTACTGCGCGCGCACGCATTCGTAAGGTCGATCAGTATGTTAACAAAAACGTAGTTGTGCATGAATCACATTCAATTTGGGATAATGTCAAATAAAAGTAGAAGCCTTATTTACTCATATTTTCAAAAACTGATATAACATTATATCTTTATTTATATATTTGAACTTTAGTTTAAAATTTGGCTACTCTTTGAAAAATAACCCTATATAGATATTTATACCAGATCAAAAAAGAGAGTGCTTGGTTTAATTCATGTTCTATTCAGTAACATAAAAAGTTATATGTGGTAAACACATAGAAATACGGTAAACAATGGCCACATCCAAATAATAGCGATTAATTTGAATTAGATTTGCATAGTTGCAATCGATTATATGCTTTATTATATTCTTAAAATCGAAACTAACTGGCTGGAGGTTTATCGTTCCTAACATTTTTTGTTAGGATTTCGATTTTCATTACCAATTTTTTAGATTATGAGTTCTGGCGCGGGAGGTTCGAGTAATGCTCTCCCGAGGAGGGGTTGCTATGAGGCGGCCGGAGCTAAAGGACCCGCGGATGTATGCGAAAGCGTTTCCGTGGCCCTGCCATTATGCGGCGCAGGTAGAACACCGTGGAGTTTTAATCAGTACAACATAAACAGTCCTTGCTCCCGCGAGGCGGATATGCGTAGGCATTTTTCTATATAAAAAATAACGTCCCTTGTCGACCCGTGTTTTATTTTATTAATATCTTCTTTTAGGTTACAAAATATTATTAGAATGAAAAGTATATAACGCAGTTAAATAAGATCGGCACTTAGTTATCGCACTACTGGTCAATTACCATTACAATATAGGCCTCCCCATTGATTACCTCATAAGGGTGGGGGGGGGGGAATTACTGGCCAGTGACACAGGCTTTGGAAAAGAGTTTTGGCGGGAAATTGACCGTCGCCGGCTTGCTGCTGCTATGACGTTTAAATAATTGTTTGAAGTAAATTTTAATACGTAAAGGTGCTATGGTTTGGTGTATTAAATGTCAATGGGTAAGCAAGTGATATAATAGTAGTATTAGTAGTATTACTTGATATTAGTCCGCTTTTAGGTGCCTTGATAATTTGGAATATAATCGTTATCGAATATCTGCTGGTTTAAGCTGCATTTTACTTATATTTTGAAACATGCATTGTTACAGGGCACCAAAAACAATATATCAAATTATATTTTTAGGCTGAAGGCCTTGTAGCCAATGGCGTGATTAATGGAAAAAACATAGACTTGAGGAACACCTCAAAACAATAAATAAAGTAAAACTATCCAGCGAAGCTCATTTGTTCTATATTGATGATGATTATGATGATTATTTATATGTTTCTCTAATAATAGTTAAAAAAGTTTTTATATTTAATATAAGTTCGTCAGATGTTAAGACTATGCATTTTCTCATCATAATAATTTCAGCCTGCCATTTATATTTAATTTTTTGTTTGGGATATTATTTGCAAACCTGATAATATGTTTTTTTTTTAATTTACAAACTACAAAGTACTTAAATGATATTTAAGTTACGTTGTAAGACATTGACCCACTGCATTGAACCAGCTATCAAGTTAAAGGCTGAATAGCTTATAGGGAACCGCGAAAGGTGATAAGACGTCACTTACTCAAAGTAGCTAACTCGAAAAATAAATAAAATTAAAATGTACATTAGATCGTTTAAAATATTACCTAGAAAAACTGCTAGTATTAAGTATTTAAGTAATAAATGAATTCTAGAATAAGTTATTAAAAGTAAAAATCAAAAATTTATTTTACATCGAGAAAAAAACAACAATAGTGTAATTTATAATTTGATCGTTTATTTACGTAAATAGATAAGTTCTTAAAGAACTATTTTTATTAGTTGATAAAATGTTGACAGCAATCTAACATTGGTATTTATTTCGGTTATTTCCTGAATTAGCTTGAATTAACATAAGCTGATAATTAATTATGTTAATTAAGATCACAGTTTGAATAATAAACCAATGAGAGATAAAAACCAAGATTTGATTGGAAAAACAGTATTTTATGAGTTTCTAACTTTTTGTACATATGGTATATAACTTAAATGATATTTTTTACAATCCATAATGAATATACTTTAAAATATTTAAATGATTTTTTGTACAATAGGAGTATCTAACGTTATTATATTAACATTAAACAAAATATTGCATGTAACAATATTTATTTTACCTTCTGTAATAAACCACAATCACGACAAATTAAGTATTTGAGAAAAAATATTATAATTTTATACAAACGACAGATGTTTTCGCACACAACGTTAGCTAATAAAACACTTACCGCCAATTATTAATCACGGAATACTCATTGAATTGATTTTGACACAGATAAAATTAGCTAATTTTCCCGCCAAAATTACTCACCGAATTGACCGAACGCAAACTGTAAACACAGACCGGCACACAACAAAACAAACACGTCTTTCGCCATCGCGTTAGATGTAAGACGCGCAAGACACTCAAATTGCAGCACACGACTGTTTTCAGACGACTGGAGAGACTGGTCCGAGTCCGCGGTACGTTGGCCGAAAACGCGCGCGTTGACGCTCTCCGGTCAAGTCGCTGGCGATCTTGACCAACATATGTATATAAAGCTGTGTCCGAGGTGAATTGAAACGTTAACAGCATACAGGTAGCAGCACGTGGCGATGTCTGCACATTTAATTTTTTTAAATCTTCCAAATTGCTATCCGTCTGCCTCATTATATCCATCAATGTTTTACTTAAGATGAAAGCTGCTTTAAACCGATTATGTTTAATGATCATTTTAAGTTTGACAAAAGTCGTTTAAAACCGAAATTCTTGTAACAGCTATTGCAATAATGACTATGTGTATTCGATTAGAAACCAAAATGCAGATACGTAATTGTGCGTGACGATTGGGGCAAACTCAGAAAGGATCCAGGGAAGGGGGAAGGAGGAAATGAATCCAGGAATAACGGGAGAGGTCCATGTCCAGCAGTAAACATTCACGAGCTGATATAGAAGAATTAGAACGTATTAAATATATCCTCTTTATGTCTTCTATAGTATAAAGGTGACAAACGAACACACAGTTCACCTGATGGTGAGTGCTATGGCCAATAGACATCTACATCATTCTCAATAAATAATTTAAATGCAGAAGCTATGTCACTCCTGAGGATCAAGGTGCAATGCCACGTTCCCAGCAAAAGGGTCTCCGGTTCTCTACACTCACCATACAAAACACAGCAGCATTGAGCTGATACTTTACCTACGCTGGTATTGTGTGAGAGCGTGGTCCTTATTAGTTTGAGCCGACCCATTTGTGCTACAATCATAATGCAGCTGCAGCATGTACACCACGTATAATTTTCTTCTAACTTTCCAACAAACTGACAGATTTCAGTGTTTTCTATATGTATATCAATATTACGCGAATGAATAACATAAAACTGGCGTCTCACTACCGGACTTCCGAAAACGTATAATAAATTAATTAATAGGATGTGGAAATTACACGTGTGTTGCAATGGGATTCCCTGAACCTGCAATGAAGTTTTTTGATACATTTTATCAAGGTCAAGGTAACATGCACTGGACTAGCGAGCACACATTTCTCGCTTTGTTAGCGTGCTAATAACAGAGTTAGTGACAATAGTTAAGTACACAGGTTCACACAAGCGTCTGAACCCCGTGCATGTGTGCGTTGCGCACGCACACATGCACGGGGTTCACCTTCAAACGAGCATATGGTCCACCTGATGGTAAGTGAATGCTGTGGCCAATAGATATCTACATCTATCCTCAATTAAGAATCAAAATGTAGATGCGGTGTCACCCCTACGGACTAACATGGAATTTCTCATTTCCAGAAAAAGGATGCGAATAAAAGGAAGGAACTATGTCCACGACGGCAGTACCAAATATTGCGTTAATTTCTCTTTCGGCTACTGTAAGTGATTTACTTGGTGGAGGCATTTTGCATATTATATTTGTATTTATATTCGTTGGCTCGACCGGGGCAGGACCCTGCTCTCACAGAATACCAGCGTAAATTAGCAGTATTATACTGCTGGTTTTCGCTGATATTCTGTTGCTTTATTTCGTATGGTGAGTGTAGAGAACCGGACACTCTTTTTACTGGAAATGAGGCATTACATCTCAATCCTTGGGGTTGACAACGCATCTGTATTTTGATTCCCAATCGAGGAAAAATGTAGATGTCTATGGACCACAACATCGTTTGTTACAGTTATTCTATTAAAAAAAATCTTTGCGTCCCGTTGGTGTCGTAAAAAGCGTGTCCACTACTGTGCGATTTACAGAATTTTTCTTTCTCACATAACTTCCTTGTGAAAATCGATAGCCACCAGCGATTTTTCCAGACCGATACGACTCAGGCACCTTCAAAAAAGAGCGTTACTCTTAGTCTCGCTGTCCAATTTTCGGACACTAGCATTCCAAATTCCTATTATATATTTATATCCTATGCAAGGATATAAATATATGTGGCGGCGCTATCGTCGCGCTACAAGCGAAACACACCGAAGCCTAAATCGCGCTATCAAAATTCCGATTCATAAACAATATATATAGAACATCTCCGAACTATCACACGGAGTGTTGGCCGCTCCCCGGGTACAACATCTTGCCTGGCGGGAGATCTCCCCTTTTCCTACCACGGCCACAGTGGTGACCCCGACGTGATCTGAACACGCAACCTACAACCTTCGGAAACTTCAAACTCCATCATCGTCATAGAATACCCCACCCATTTGCTCCCGAGCAGGTAGCGTCTGCAGTCCTCATATCCTGCAAGCCATCTAGCTTAACAAGGTTCATCGCAGCACTGGAATAATAATGCTTCCTGTTCCTTCAAGCTACTCTCTGCGCTATACAGTGTTCGGCACGGCTCTGAGCCTTACTGCTCGCCTCTGCTTCACGGCACTCTCGCAGATTACCTGTCTTCTTCTCGACTCACCGCAGACTACAAGGCAATCCATTGGCACTTGTACATTCGTCGGTAACGAGGCTGCACTATCGACCTCCGGTCTGAGCAGGGGAGTGATGTGGCGGCGCTGTCGTCGCGCTACAAGCGAAACACACTAAAGCCTAAATCGCGCTATCAAAATTCCGTATCATAAAAGTATATATAGAACATCTCCGAAATATCACACGGAGTGTTGGCCGCTCCCCGGGCAGAACAGCTTGCCTGACGGGAGATCTCCTCTTTTCCCTTCTACGGCCACATATATAACGGGATAGCAAAGGGTTAAAAGGCCGACAACGCACCTGCATTTTCCCTCGTGTTGAAGCTGTTCATGGGCGACACTTACTATCTGGTGAGCCGCATGCTAAATTGATCCTTCTTATAAAAAAAGAGCGACTTTAGGGAATCTCAGACACATCTCATAGCTTCAAATTAATGGCGATACAACCATCTCGCTTACGCCTGACGTAAAATACTCAGACTGGTGATGGGGAGCAGCGCGAAGATGCAAGGCGTCTAGTACTATGGTCGTCAACGCACATGGTAATTACTAGCGACTAAGTAATTTCTTTTAAACGGGACAGACATTCATCAGCCTGGGCTCTTCCCAGTAGTTGACTTTTCCGTGATTTTGAAAAAGAAGATATAGAGGATTATATATCCATCTATCGGAAGCTCCAAAGGCAGGTTAGAACCTCACTTATTGTCATCTCTTCCGACACTTAATATATGTAAGTAAGGAGAAGGGAAAAATATTTTAAATGTCATATCGTTAAAAAGCGATATATTCCAGACAACGATTGCATTGACAGGATCGCATGTGGAAAGTTGTGTGATTTGGTGATGCAGAAATAATATTTATAATATATCCGTATAATAATAAATTGATAATTTATAAAAACTTGAAAATACGAATATAACCATCTAAATGGCACAAAGTCAAAGATTAAGAAACTGATTATGTACATGCTACTGAAAAACAGATAAGAAGTGGGCGCGTTTTGCTAACAGAGGCAGTGTTACGGTATCCCATAGACGGATTACTTAAATACTAAACGACCTGTCCAAAAATTTAGTGTTATGACCAGGCATTTTATTAAATTTTGTGACGAATTTAAAAGTTTCTAATAAGAAAAAGCAAGGAATTCAAAGCGATTTATTAGATAAGAAGGAGAGGAAGGAATATGAAGAACATTGTAAAGAAGTGACAGAGTATGAACATTCCGGTGAAGACGAATAGGCAGCCACATTTTATACCACTTTTAAAATTAAATGATATAATAACATTCAAATAAATTTGTTGGAACGGTACGCGCGCCATCTACTGAAAGTTTATTGTACTACGCCTATAATATTCGCGCAAGTGCAAGCAGTAAGTTCACAAAGTTTTAGCGCAATCTGATGAACAGTATGGCAGCACATAAAATACGAAGAAACAAATATATTTTTATATATGTATTATAGATACGAGGTGTGTATGATACGGCCGGTATATAGGCCTTTAAAAAAATGACGAAGAAAAGGATACATACAGAGTTTCTCTCACCGTTTCTTCTCCGGACACAGGAACCTCATTTTGAAACGGTAATAGATTCAAAAACATGTTTACGTTTAGTAAGCGGAATTTCAATTTTTTACACAGAAAAAGAAAATATTTATCCCTCCATCTATCCATTACAGTCTATAAAAGTCAGTATTGATCATAGAGGTGATTTTACCACAGTTGTCATATCGTTTAAACATATTTGTTCTAAGAGTGGTTCTTTAACAGTGGTAGAGCCACGCGACAGCTTTGCTGTTGCACGTATGGGCTGGCTCAAACCGGGGTGGTACCACGACCTCACAGAATACCGGCGTGAAGTGGAAGCTCTGCTTCCGCGTTTCATCTGGTGAGTGCAGGTGGCCGGAGGCCCAAATCCCCCCCCCCCCCATCAACATGGTAGCGGAATTAAATAATGATAGACTACCCCAGGAGGGTACCAGCACCCCTGGAGAATCCCTCGCTGAGCATCCACGACCATATTTCTCCACTTCTGAGCGTGGGTGCTCAGGCTGCCCCGCGTATTCTGGGGGGGGGGGGGGCAAAATTCCGCTCAAGACTACAACTGCTCGGGGCAAACGGAGCAACAAGACCAAGGCGACCCCTGCCATGCTGTCCGTGAATTTTTGCAATATCAGGGGACTTCACTCTAACCTAAACGCCGTCCACTGCCATCTCGAGACGGCGAGGCCGGCTCTGCTCTTCCTGACCGAGACGCAGGTGTCCTCTCCGGCTGATGTCTCGTATCTCTCCTACCCGGGGTACAAACTGGAACACTCCTTTGTGCCTCGGGCTGGAGTTTGCGTTTACGTCAGAAGGACATCTGTTCTCGACACCTCGGCAGACTTGAAGGTTCGGACCTGTCCATCCTTTGGCTACGCATAGACAGCGATGACCATCCGCGCGTCTACGGGTGCCTCTATAGGTCCCATATCGG